TCATGCAAATACAGCGCACACTGAAGTGTTTCCGGCGGCACGTGATGACGAAGCATGGGATGGGTTTGCATGAATTTGCATCAAAGTTGCTCATGTGCCTCTTCAGCTGTGGCTCACCTCCTTTAAAACTCCAAATCACGATAACAATTAAGGTTTTTTGAGTGGGTGTTTGATGATATCCTGAGTGTGTTTGAGACGGCATAACTTTTGTCAGCATCCGACGGTGCTGTGTAGGGATGAAAGGGAAGCGTCTCCTTGGCGACCGACGGCTGAGGGTGGGGGAAACTGGGTCACCATCACCAGCGCAGATTAAAGGACCAGGATCTGAATATATACCATGAAACACACACACTGACTCAAAGCAGAGAAATGAAAGGGACTTCCCAGGTGAGAGATGAAACGGTGCCAGGTGCGACGCTCTGGCGGCTCGGTGCCAAAGGTTTCCCTTTTTGAATCGGCCTGAAGCCCATTCAAATGGCAAGGGTTCGCCTCAAGCGACAGCAAGAGGCTTATAAAGCTGAGACACTGTTTGTGTGTGTGTTGTCTTTGTATGATTGTGTTTTTGACTGATGGAGGCAGTTAAAGAAATAGCCAAACAGAGTATGAAGCTCAAACTGTTGCACGTAGGAGAATATTTGACACATTTCATGTCTCCAAAAGGAAAACATTTACAAAAGACACTTGGTTAAATTATTTCTGCTTTGTTATTTCAATGTTACATATTTTTAATGGCTGACAGAACATCTGTGGACATAAAAAGACGGATAATAGGCTGACATGATAGGAACTGCAGCTATTATTATATTGCTTTAGATAACGTGTGAAGAACACACAGCCTGGTTGTAACTAGTCCGACACAAACAGCTCCATGTACAGTCGTCAGCAGTGATTTCCCGAGGCTTGGGACTACTGACGCTGGGGTCACAGTGAGGTCACAGTGAGGTCAACCTCTGGGATCCCAGCTCAAAGCCTGACAGTCAGCATCTGCGCCGATTATACATCCATGGTCTGCGCCCGACACAAGACATGCTTAATGGCATCACACAGGTAGACAATAACCAGTATCTTAACAACACCAGGGATTTTTATCGAGGTAACAGATCAAGTGAGAACTCCAATGGACATCCAATAGGAAAACCCTGTTGTCTTTTTGTCGTGGGAGCCTTTGCAATGTTCACTCCATTATCCTCACGATGAGTGTCCCTCTTATGCTCTCAGCACAGAAAGCCTTACCAATACATCAGCTGCATGTCAACAGATCATCTCTCTGATAACTCTCAGGCATGGCTATCTTACATTTCATTTTCTGTTTCTGCCTCAAGCTGTTGCGAGGCCACATGAGGAGTCTTTTTTTCTGGGAACTGATAGCATCGCTAAAACTGAGCGAGCGCAGCCTACCACGGGTGTTAGACGTCTCCATGGCAACAGCAGAGCCGGTACCACTGTGCGATCAGAGCGCTCTGATGTCGAGGATGGGACCGTCACAAGGGCCTGTTGTGCAAAAAGTGAAGTTTGAAAATCAATTTGAAGCGTCCAGAGACTGCTGTGTCCTCCTTCTTCTTCTTCTTCTTCTTCTCTCCCATTAATCTGATGACATGAAGGAGCTGCGACGTCCTCATTACTTTGGGACGACCTAAATTGAGAATCCACTTTCTTTTTTTCCTTCTCTGTCTCGCTGTAATGAGGGAAGACAGGCCCTCGACAGGCTTTCCCTTTAATGAACGCCAGGAATTGTGGAGGAAGATAAGAAAGTGCGTGCAGCTGAGGGTTCAGATGCTCAGGAATCGGATAAAATGAAGATGATATGTGATTTAGCAAAGTCAGAGGGTACGTGGCTGAACATAAGGCTTCCAAAGTGGCATTTATACACACAAAGAAAACCTTTTTTAAGGTTGAAACTGCAGGTTGTATTCATGGATTTGTCTTTGGAGAACCTGGCTTTATTGTTTCTCATTTGTCATGTCATATGGCTGAAGGGGATTATACGTGACCCCTGACCCTTAACACGAGCACACAGCCACATATTAAATACAGCAATTGAGAAATGTTGCTTAGGGATTGTATTGTGTTGATATGTCGCTTTATTACAGTTTAAATGGATGGATTGCCAGCAAGTCTTGTACAGATATATTAGTGTTTCCAAAGGTCTTCAGTGACTCACTGAGGTCGACATAGACTATTGGATGAATGCAGTGAAAGGTGGCATAGTTGCCCTTTGTCATTGTGCGCTTTGTGAAGGCCGCTATTGTAGACTTTTTGTTGGATGAGTTCAAGATCCGGTCTGTTTGGCCTTCTTCTCTCTTAAAGGAGAAAAGCTAAGATAATACACAGTATGATGAGTGTTGCTAAGTCTTTTGGAACAACACAAATGTATCACCAGTGCTAGAACAACAACCAAATGACGAGCTATGTCTAACAAATGTAAAGCCCCGACCACTTTGCATCACGACTTCCACTAACATCTGCTCAGATCTGCGCTGAAGTAAACAGCACATGCATCAAAAACTGCGTCCAATCAGAAAGCTGCTGAGGTTAGGGCCTGACTCCAAACATTGAACAGTGTGTGTGTGTGTGTGTGTGTGTGTGTGTGTGTGTGTGTGTGTGTGTGTGTGTGTGTGTGTGTGTGTGTGTGTGTGTGTGTGTGTGTGTGTGTGTGTGTGTGTGTGTGTGTGTGTGTGTGTGTGTGTGTGTGTGTCAGAGTGATGGTAAAGAGTGCCAGGGCACACTGTATCCCATCTTCTGGACAAGGCCTTAATCTGTGTGACCCAGTGAGGGATTATGGGGGTTCTGTGAGGAAAATAGGACTTGAAACTCACTCCCTCAAAGATGACAGTTTGTTTGTGTTTTTGTTGAATGTTGAGTGTGTGTGTGTGTGTGTGTGTGTGTGTGTGTATGTATGTGTGTTATCTGCCTGTGAGTCATTCCCACTACAAATAAAAGCCTTTTTTCCTGAAGCTGAATTACGCCACTTACACCTGCTATTTCCTTGATTATCCACAAGGAAAGCTTGTTATTTGGGTTCAAATTAAATTATTTACAGAACTATTTCACCTATTTTGATCATTTATGACATTATTAAAGCTAAAAAATATATTTATTTTTGGTTGAATTGCTGTTTTGCTGGTTTATATTTTATTTGTAGTCCCCAGTGCTTTCGGATACCATGATTGTGGATGTTAGGAAAGTGTAATATCCATTTTTGACACATTTTATAACCATTCTAGACAATTAATCTGTTAAACCAGAACAAAAAGACAGATTAAACATCAATAAATATGTAATCCTTAGCCCTTGTGCTTAAAAACACATTTCTGATACGGTGGTAGTTATTTTCGAGGCTTTCTTCCAAACGCTGTCTTTAAAATATCTTAAATTCCCTTTTTACTGCACGTCCTGTCAGTGATTCTCCTTCATGTTCAGACCTGGCTCTTCTAATCTGCACAAGATGCTTCATAAAGACTTGAGACTTGAACTCATGCATGCAGCAGATCAGGTTTCCTCATGGCTCCGTATCAGAGAGCCATTGAAATGTGAAGAAGTGGTCGTGATGGGTGACCGGCATATGGTGCAGACTGGGTGTTCATTCCAGTCCTCGGGGTGAATGGAGACACTAAACGTCATGTTAGCTGATGAAAACATCAGGGGCTGGTGGGGTCACCTTTGTCTGCAGTGTGTGTGAGTGTGTGTGTGTGTGTGTGTGGGTGGGGGGTTTCTGAACTGGGGCTTTGTCTGGGCCACGTGGGTCAAAATGAAAGGGGACAGATGGTGTCCTTTTGTTTCAGGATATTATTACAAAATGGGGTGAACGATGCAAACAAGCACCCCCGCTTCTGCATATAAACACACCCCACCCTCTGTTAATCATTTCTCAGGGGTCCAGGGACTCACCTTGCCTGATTTCCGATTGGCCCGTGGCATTTTGCCCACAGCCAATCGGCATCCTGAGAGGCAAACAAAGGGTCCCCTCTTTAATGAAGCCAGACACATGGCTGTTTAGTAGTGAAGAAGATCTGATTGGTCCATTTAAGAGGAACGGTTTTCCACAAGAAAAACCATGGAGAGTATTTATATTTTTAAAGTATAGTTAGTGCTATTATATTATGTTTATTCTCATTGGGGGATGAGATGACTTTACATTTGTTGGTATTCTTAGGAAAATAAAGACCTTTTTGAACATTAAAGCAAGGAGACAAAGCCACAAAATACAAATATGAAAAAATTAGCAAGCTATGGCCCCTTTTACGCTCATGGCCATTTTTATTTCAGCGAAAATTAAAACACACACTTTCTGCTATGATGTTCTTCCTCTCTTTCCTTTCCCTCACTTCTCTCTCAACTCACCAGATGGAGAGTGGGCGGTGAGCTGTGTGTGTTTCTCTCTGTGTGTGTGTGCATGCGTGTGTGTGTGTGTGTGTGTGTGTGTGTGTGTGTGTGTGTGTTGTGTGTGTGTGTGTGTGTGTGTGTGTGTGTGTGTGTGTGTGTGTTTCTGTGTGTGTGTGTGTGTGTGTGTGTGTGTGTGTGTGTGTGTGTGTGTGTGTGTGTGTGTGTTTATGTGTGTGTTTCGGTTACCCATGAGTTTGCATATTTTAATCTCCTGTAAATGTTGTCTTTATATCCTCCTCTGCTTCACTGGTGCACAGACTATATAAAGACAATTCACCTGCAGACCAGACGACAGAAATGACACATTTATTGAGCTAATAAAATAAATAAAAGGACATGTTTTAGGGGCTAGCACAGTCTGACAGCTCTTGCATCCTGAGACTGGATTTGTAAAGGACACAGAGAGAAAGTGCTAAGCTTTAACAGGGAGGAAGAAGAAGAGGAGGAGGGAGGGTGTGTGCGCGAGGAGAGCGAGGCGAGAGAGAGAGAGAGAGAGAGAGAGAGAGAGAGAGAGAGAGAGAGAGAGAGAGAGAGAGAGAGAGAGAGAGAGAGAAGAGAGAGAGAGAGAGAGAGAGAGAGAGAGAGAGAGAGAGAGAGAGAGAGAGAGAGAGAGAGAGAGAGAGAGAGAGCGCGCAGCATCAAGCCACCCGGACAGGCTCCACCATCCACACACTGTAAGGTACCAGAGCCACAAGGAGACTATATTCCTCTACAATAATGGATGGGACAAAGCCGGCCATGGAGTCCAACGCAGAGGAGACTCAGGAGGAGACACAGGAGAGCAAAGGTAGGCGAGCACCCGCTGACATTTGCGCGTTTTTCTCCATTTCGCTTTGAAGACATTTGCGTCTGCGCCAGCCTTAGCGGTTTAACCTACTTGCAATGGCTTCTCGTTTGAGACAATAGCGATGTTTTTTTTCTCTTCCTTTTTTAGCATTTCTCCTATTTCTAGTCAAATCTGAACGCATACGATTGATTAGTCCCACAAAAGAAGCGTACATTTGACGTTATCTGCCTTATCTGGCCCCTTTACACAGAGGGGGATTTGGAGATGGTGGAGAATAAGAGGGGTGGGCGGGTTTGTGCACGGGCTGGTTTTATGGTGCATATATTAATGCCAATTTGCTTTAACACTCACGAGCTTATTTCTGCCTAATGAGCGGCTGATGGAGGGTTTGTGGAGGCGGCGCGCTGCGTGTGCACGGCTGCATTGTTTCAGGTGTGGAGCAGCAGAGCCTCGGTTATTATCTCCCCCCCCCACCCCCTTTATCCCTTCGACCCCCCCAACAGAGGCTCAGTGTCCGATCCGTCATCTGATTAGTCGACGTTGCTGCAATATATGAAGCCTGTGTGTGTTGTGTGAGCAGCGGTGTGTTGATGCATGGAGGCTGCAAGGTCCATCAATCACAACCCCTCATACATGTCAATGGGGGGTGCACACATTCAATCCTGGCATGCAACAAGCCCATTAGCATCATCTAATGGCACACGTGCATGCTCATTAAACCAATGTTAATGGGGGCAATCTAAATAAATTCAGCAATAAATGTGTTTTTTACCAAATCCAGTCATAAATTAGTCGACTGTGTCCAAACAAACTGTTGCTGCCTCTCTGCTGAAGGTGTGTGTTGGAGGAGTGTAGGTGTGTGTGTGCACTGGTGGACTCACGCCCATACAGAGTGGATTTGTCTTATAGTAAACAAAATCACACCCTTCTGTTTAGGGACAGCAGTGATGATAGTGGAGTCACTGTGACAGTTTTCAATGGGTATCTTGAATGTACAGAGTACAGTTGTATCTAAATCGCCAGGATAGCATCATTGTTGATGATTGGAGGTCAGTTTGCTTTTTATTTACACATCAGTGCAGAGGGTTGCAGCTGATCTGGCCTGATGCCCTGCTGGCTGTCAGAGAGCCGAAACCAAGTCAGAGTGCATGCATCGCATCGGCCTGAGGGCTGTACACACCTCTCAGTAACAGCCAGTGTTTCCCCAGCTTTACTCACTTATGTGTGCAGATGTGTTCAAGTGAAGGTAATGCATTGGAAAAGACATATTTGAAGTGACTTGGCTTCAGCAAATTTACGAAATGGCATGGAAATACTATACCATGTTAAGTTAGATATTCAGAATTGTAGCTTCCATGTTATAAATGGTTACAATATTGAAAACAAAAATATATTTTATTCAGCTCCAGCATCACAGCATTAAAATGTTTATCTCCAGCATTACCAAATGACACTGTTGGAAGAAAATCTTTCAAATTGAAGTTTTTTGGAAGCAAATATTAGGATTTTTGGCTCCGGCATGATAAAAAAGCAAGTATTTTAGTATAAAATTAAGAAAATGTGCTCCAGCATTATGTTACTAATAGGGAAGATATTGAAATGTTTTTAGCACTAGGAGTAAAAACTGACGTGGAAGTTTGCTAATTTGGATGCAAATATTCAGATTTCTACCTCGATGTTATTTTTTTGTGACTTTTAAATGTCAGCACTCACACCATTTTCTGTAAAAGGTCAGACATATTTTGTCGTTCCTGCAGCACTCATTGGACTCTAATATTGCTGGGTCACAGTTTGAGTAAGACGTAAGGCTCAGGAGAGCGGGGGTCCGGGATGCTTTTAAAAATACATTACATCATCGTCTCCTGAGGCATCGTCACAGCGAGGGCCTTCATCATGCTACTTTAATTGAGAGAGTGGGTGAGTTTGTTTAAAGACCCTGAAGACGGTTGAACAGGAGGACGGCCATATTTAAAATGAGCAATTAATCCTCTGAATCCCTTAATCACCATTTTGTATTGTTCTTCTTCTGTGGTGCTCCAGGTGTGGTGTTGCGCAACCGAGTGCACCCCCCCCCCCCCCACACCACCGGACAGAAATAGACCGGATTGGAGGATGGCCTATTTGTCGGTGTAATCGTTTGTGTGTGTCTTTGACATCTGGAATGTGACCATAAGCTTACAGCATCTGCTAAGAAGCTGAAGACTTACAGTGGAGGCAAGAAGGCGAGAGTCGTGTAAGGAGCTTGAGCTGCCTCCTCTTCCTCACTATGTTTGGGATTACAGAACTCCCAGATGCATGATGTGACAATGGAGCAATGTGTGTGAAAATATCCAACATGGAATCATCTTCGATTTTCTGTAGCATCTCAACGTTAAGTCAAACCTCAGATGTATTAGCTGAATATCTAACAAATATGATATCAAGTTTAATTCAGTTCAGTACATTTGGAAAACAGCTCCAACTTTTTAAAACATATTGGTGCCAACATTTCTGTATTAGTGTGTATGTGTGTATCCTCAAACAAGGGTTATTTACAACGCCCCCACAGGAAACCCTTTGTACAAGAAGTAGTTGGGTGTAATAAAAAAGCGTAATGATACTGTTATTTTGATAAAGGAGCTAGGGTTAGACTTCCAAACTTCGAAAGAATAACCTCACAACCTTGCCAAAATTCATGCCATTAAAAGAGCCAAAATGAATGAAAAATAAAACACGACAAATATCCTTAGTGAGGCTAAACAGTGATATTTGGGTCTCTTTTACCTGCATACGTATGACTTGATTCCACATTTGACTGACCTCTCTTCACCTCATGTGTTTGCATCAGGTGTTGCGTTCACAGTCTTGCTGTTGTTGATTAGCTGCCTTCATTACGGTAAACAGCTCATGTTCTTGATTGCAACCCTATTGTGTCTCGGTGCATGAGCTGAGAGTAATTACTAACAGGAAAGTGAACACAGGCAGGGTGTATGCTCTAATCCTGCTGCTGTTTGATCTTTTTTGCCTGATTGCGCCCGATAATAATAATCTGTAATCTGCATGTCTGCGCAGCGACACTGTGCTCAGGACTCGGATAACGAGACATCAGCGGTTCTCTGAGGAACCATTCAATCTGATTTCATTAGCATGAGACGCTTTGATTAGAGGACGCTCCTCCCATGTGAGGTTTCTTTATTTGAATCGCTTTAAAGACTGTTTTCAAGTCTGTCCCGTTTGTTGCAAATGATTGTCCTGTTCACACACACCTTTCTTCTTCCCTATGTGTGTGTGTGTGTGTGTGTGTGTGTGTGTGTGTGTGTGTGTGTGTGTGTGTGTGTGTGTGTGTGTGTGTGTGTGTGTGTGTGTGTGTGTGTGTGTGTGTGTGTGTGTGTGTGTGTGTGCGTGGCTCTTGCATAAGGCCCTGCTGGCTCGCCAGCCGTTGGTTATGATGTTCAGATGAGAACCGTAAGAGATTACATCATCGTCTGGATGGGTGCAGGTTTTGATGAATTCTCTGCGTGGAGGGGCAGAGCGGTGCTGCAGCCTCGAAGCACAAAGAGAGGCTTCCTGCTAATCAGCCTCTCATCGTTTATATGGTTTTTATGTAAAATCTGTGACGACCTGAGCAGAGGAGCATATTAAGAGCTAGAGAGATGGTTCCACACTGATTTCAAATCAAGTAAACCTTTAAAGGAATAGCGCATTTATGTAAAATACGAGTATTTGTTCAATGTATAACAACAAATGGCTGGTTTCCTTTAATATTTGGTTGGTTTTATTGCTATAACTCACATTCAAAGAGATGAAACTATACATTTTAATAGATTATTACTAAGGCAACCAAGCTCCAAATCTGAAAATGATTGCATCTACATATTTCACATTATTCCTACCTATCTTTTCTGTGATATTCTGCATTTATTTGACCTCTCTGGGACTCTACAAATCCTTCAAAAGAACCAATCCAAAAGAGAATAAGCCAGACCCAAAAGGCGGTAACCACTGAATAAGTAAATTGACACAAAGTAAATGCAAGATTCTCTGGTTCCACCTCCTAAAATGTGAATATGTGCTAGTTTTCCCAAAAATATAATCAAATATCTTTGGCATTGGACGGTTGTTTGACAAACTAAAGGTGTCAAGGCAGTCTCTGGGAAATTGTAATGGTTATTGTTCAATATTTTCTGACATTTTATCAAACCAAATCACCAGACTTTACTCCAATGAGTGAGCGAGACCTGGCCTATCCTCCAGGACGACACAAGGGTCATTTAAACTGTGATACAGTCCAGCTGAGTCCAGGAGGAGGGCTGAATCAAAATGCCATCCTCTGTTTGATCCTGACATTTAGTTTGTGTTGCTCATACATATTGGACAGGTCACCTTCCCTGCTGTTCTGACCTTACAACACAACTTGTTTAAGATGACACCAAACACGTTATCTTTCATGGATCATTGCTGTGGTAAATAGTCCTTTTCACCCCTGTATTTGCAAAATGTTCCAAGTGTACAGTAAATATTAGAAGGTGGCCAGACCTGAAGTGAAGCAAATCACTGCTGCCACACACACATCCTCAAATGCTTCTCACTGATGTATTTGTCTGTATATTAAACTTTTTAAAGCCTTATAAGGTTGGACGTACCAGAGTGTTTACCTGGAAGCTATTTGCCAAACTGCGTGTCGATCCAGGACAAACATGTGTAACGCTGACTGTAATAGAAGCTGATTTGGACAAACTCTCATAGTGCCTCTCTCTCACACACACCCACACACACTCTAATGTGTACTCTTGCTGTTTCGGGCATCCTACTTTGCTTTGTTACACATAACCACCTCTCACTTAGGCTCTCTATGTTTTTTTTTTAAATGCCAGTTTTTCAATGAGAATATCAAGAAGAAGAAATCTCCCACACACGATGCTTGTACAATCTCCCTTTTTCCTCCTTCTTGCTCTTCTCTTCCTGTCTTGTCCAGCTACTCCTGGTTATCTCCCACACACACACACACACACACACACACC